AAGAGTTAATTTTCTGTCTAGTGATTGCTGTGACATGAATGTCAATAATGCATATTGTTTTAGTTGTTGCTAGGTAATGTTTATACTTTCCATGGATGTTTTTCAGCTTCCCAGAGAAGAAGGAGCACAGACAGCAGGATGGACTGGCCAGTGGAATATTCTGTGCCACAGACGTCATGCTCAGTATAGAAATGGGGGTTCGCCAGGGCTGGGGGGGAATCCACGATCACTGCTGGGAGGGTGCCAGTTCACCAGGTGGTGAGGTTGACTCGTGTCATCATTATTATTATTATTTTAATTTTCTGTTATTGTTCTATTAAACGGCCTTTATCTCAGCCCACGAGAGTTTTTTTCCTTCCCTGTTCTACCTCTTCTCCCTGCCCTTCTGGGGGGAAAGGGGAGAACTGCGTGAGTGGCTCTGTTGTCCTACCTGCCGGCTGAGGTTAAACCACAACAAGAACACAGCCTGGATCATCTTCAGCACTCAGAAGCGGGCTGGGGCAGTCCTTCGGGTGTCTTTTTTACTTTAAATGTTCGTGTTTCTTCCCAAATGCGCACTTGAGTAAGTGTCTCAAAAAGTTCCTGCAGAATGCTTGTTTTTCTCTATCAATCAGACTCATCTCTGGTTTCCGTTGTTGTTTTTTGTTGGGTTTTTTTGTTTTTTTTTAATTGTTGGTGACCTAGCAGCTTCATTGCTTGTTATAAAAACCAGTATTGGCTCTGCTGTGTGATTCCATAGTGCCATGCATACATTTTGGAAAACGAATACAATGGCAAAGTTGTTAATGTCTGTTACATTATCGACATTATTGAGACTGATATATTTCTACTTACATATTTCTAAAACATTTTTTTTGGAGGGGTGGAGGTAAAGCTCCAAGTAAACCAGACTATGAAGTCGTGGGTGGAATGCTTACTTTTCGGTCATTTAAAATTGAGACGAATACCAGCTTTTCAACCCATGCCTCTCATTAGAACAAAAGCTATGCTTAAAAGATTTGCCCTTATTGCCATCAAGAACGAAGTAATCATCCAATAGCTCTTGTATGGTATATTTAATTGTCTTCAAAAGGATGCATTACAATTGGGGGAACGACATGTTAATGTATTAGTAAACTATGAAGGGAGTTGTGCAAAATTAATTTCTGCCCTACAGCAAGAATGAACAAGATTATCTTATTGCGTGAGAGATTCCAGAGGCTTTATCTTCCCTTCAGCACAGAGTCTCCATTAAGATTAATCAGTCACAAATGCACATTCCAAAGGAGAACACAAATCATATGAAATCTTCTTATCGAGTTAATGAATGACTCGCCTCCCTCCTATCCCTTCCTCCCGTACAAGAAGACAGCCGAGGGCAAACGCTCCATAAACCTAGACGTGACGGATTCGGCACTCAGGAGACAAGGTCAGTGACAAAGTTCCTCTCAGCTCCGAAAGGAGCTGGTTTAAGAAGTCCATAAGCAGAGCTAATGGAGGGTTTGCAGGATGGAGTGACACTGCATGGGGGCTCTCCAACACACAGCACAGCTTTAAAAAATAGTTCCACGTGTAGGACAAATAAGCAATAAATTTAAAATAGATCAAGCGTTACTGATGGAAGGTGTTCCCACTGATGCTGGTATTTGTTACCAGAAAAGTATATACATTTCTTTACAGCCCTAAGCCCTGAATTTTGGAACCATGCTGCTCCAATGGCTTTGTTACTAGGTATTAAAATTGTCTTTTTTTTTTTTTTTTTTCCAGCTCCCCTTTCCAAGGAGTAGTGCAGTGACAGCCAATTCAAGTGTGGGGCCAAAGGGAAAGAACTCTTCTCCCCTAAAAACCTGATTTTTAAGTGTAGCTCAAGCTTAGCGCTGGGTGGAAGCCTGGGACAAGACACCAAAGATGTGCTCGGTGTTTTCAGAGTGCAGAGGATAGAGCCTGGAATGATAGTGCTGGAGACTTACTACCCATAATTAGCCACAGAACAGGCCGATTAATCTCCATATAGTGTCTCTGATAGCAGAACTCACGTCCAATTTGGTGAAACTGCAGGTAAGCCACACTAATTCAGTGGTCATGATCCAGGCAGTACTGCACTGTTCTTTGGAGGCGTGTATGTAGATGAGAAACAAAAATAACTGCGTTAGATGGTCTTGCTGTCTGGCTTCTCTTGATTCGCTGCTGCTCCTTGAGCTCAGCTGAGGGCTGAGAGCTCTAGACTAACCTGCTGGGGAAGCCAGTTCCCGAGTTTTTGGGTTTCCTGCTCTCTCAGACCGATACCAGATCCCAAGGCAGATGACTTGGGGGAACCGAACCCTTCAAAGCCCAGCTGGGATCTGTATGTCATTGCAGCAGATGACTTTAACACCAGTGCCAGAGGGAGAGTGGAACAGTATTGATGAGACTCAAGAATTGAGCAGGCAGACAGCGGGCAAACATTTCTGCTAGAGCACTCTGACAGCGCTCACCTGCCCTGGCCTGGTGTGGCCCTACCGTTCCGTCTCTCAGAGTTCACCGACCAAACTCTGCCATAAACCAGAGACCATCTGGGAACACCGAACTGCCCTTGCACTTTATAAAAGGCAGGATGTCTTTTATAAAGCATCTCCATGTCCTGACCATAGGTCAAGTGGGTTAACAACCTCTTTGTTTTCTCTTCTCAGAAATCCCGGTGGCTTTAACCCAATCTCCTCTGCATACTGTATATTTTTGTATTATTTTATTCTTCTTTCTCCTAATACTTTTCCCTTCTATCCCTGAAATGCTATACTTTTGGGATGCCTAATTTGAGCTACCTGTTGAGTACGCTGGATGAGTTGGAGGAAAGCTGCTCTTTGTCAAGTGTATCATCAGTTGCAATGGCTGTTGCCTGCAGGAATGGATTTGGCCACACGTAATCGTTCTCTGAGTGGAGGTGCCCAGAACGAAAGGCCAGGGCAGCAAACAGCTGAGTCTTGAACATGCTCATAAGCTGCAAAAATAAAACTGTATCAACATTTAATAAATAGAGAATGGGCAGTAAGCAAGCAATAGTGAGGATTCATCACTTTGCCTTTGGTTTGTTATTTGTCGGGCATATTTATATAGAAGAAGGTACAGATTGGGGATCTATTAGTCAGATTGGTTGTTCCATCCAGCCAAGCCAAACCTTTAAGCTTTGGGAGAACTTGGCTGAGGACAGCCTTTAGGCTTGACAACCAGGACACCTCAAGGGACAGTGCAGGCTGGGAGATGATCTGTGAGCTTTCCGGTTTCCTCCCTTGATCCCTCCTTTTTGTCCAAGTCTTTGTCCAAGCAAGAGTCCTTGCTCTGCCGGGAATCGGTTCACTCCAGAGTCTGTCACGCTCTCTCTCTGTGCTTATATCCTTGGGCCTCTGTAGCTGGGAAGAACACAAAAAAATATAATGTCAGCTTTATCCCCCCTTTCTCCAAATTTGACTGAGTCAGAGATCTCCTCCCTGTGGTC